GTAATAATATCTAGTAAATTCTGAGAACTTTTAACACATCGTCTGTCTCTCTTTAGCTCTTTCTCATTAGATATAAGTTAAAAGAGGTTCCAAAACCAAATTAATGTTTTAAAGTTCTCAGAAGCTTCTTAGGGTTTTTTTGTGTTTGTGTGTGTAATGTACATGTGGAGGCCAAAGGTTGATATCAGGTGCTTTCTTCAATTGCTCTCCACATTCTGTATCAAAGTAGGGTTTCTTTTTTTATATATATATATTTATTTATTATGTATACAATATTCTTTCTGCATGCATGCCTGAAGGCTTGAAGAGGGCACCAGACCTCATTACAGATGGTTGTGAGCCACCATGTGGTTGCTAGGAATTGAACTCAGGACCTCTGGAAGAGCAGGTAATGCTCTTAACAGCTAAGCCATCTCTCCAGCCCAAAGTAGGGTTTCTTGCCTGAACCTAGAACTCTCTAATTCAGCGGTTAGATAGCCAGCTTGTTCCAGGGATCACGTGCCTCCATCTGAGAGTCAGGATTACAGGCAGGCCCAGGCCAACATGCCCACCTGTTATTCATTTGAGTGCTGGGATCTCAATTTCAGCCGTCATGCTTGCATTTTGACCACAGAGTCATCTCCCTAGCCCCTGTTTTACAGACAGGGTCCCCACTCTGTTGCTCAAACTGGCCTCTAACTCACTATACAATCAGTCTAGCTTTGAACCCGAGGATTATTCTTTCCCAGCTTCTTGAGTGCCGAGATTCCAGGTATGTATCACACCTGGCTCTCAGAAACTTGTTACGTAAACTGAGAAGGAAAACTATGCGAGAGCAGACGCTTATGCCTACACTTCATCCAGACCGTGCCACGTGTACAACACACGTCTGAACCCAGCCCCATAAACAGCCTCCTCCTGCTTGCACGTCCAGGCTTCTTGATTCTGTTGGTCTTGCCACATACAGTTTCTCAATGTCATTTCTGTGAAATGTAAAAGCCTCTCTGAGCTTCACAAGATTTAAACTCTCCCCTAAATCCTACTGGCCTAACCATACCTGAATAAATACCTACAAAAAGCTTCCAAAAGATTACAATTTAGAATTCCATTACCTAGTTCCTTGGTGATCCTTAAGGTTTTTTCCAACCCCAGTTCTTGCTCTCTCATCTTATACAGCCAGCATACTGAATTCCTGTCTTTTGTTACCCTTTATAAGATATCGCTTTTTCATTCCCACTAATACAACCCTTTTCCAACAAAATGTTCTCTTCTCCGTTCTTTGAACTGAATTCTCAGTATCCTGGCCCTTCTCTACTCTATACTCGTGAAACTTCTCTATTCAATACATACTGCTTATGAAAAGTCTCCCTCAAGTTACTTAAAAACATAAAATGTGGGGTGCACATGTGACTCAGTGGAACAGCTTTTTCCCATCATACACAAAATCCTGAGTTTAGCTGGTTGTGGTGGGCATACCTTCAATCCCAGATTGGGGGAAAAAGAGTGCTTATACAAGCTACAAATAAACTTTGACATGTTAAGAGGCCAGTCAGAAAAGACTGTGCACTCCTCTTTATATGTGTCTTTCCAGAATCTGTGAATGTAGCAGTCAAGTAGATAGGACTGTGGATGAAATTCGGTTGGCAGAGTGCTTGCCTAGGTTGCACAAAGCTCTGGGTTTGGTCCCCAGCACTAGTACATGCCTGATATCTCACCACTTGGGAGGTAGAGGTGAGAGAGATTCAAGGACATCCCTCATCTACTGTGCAGCTAGTTTTATGTCAACATGATTGTCTCAGGATTGCTAGTGCTGATGAAACACCATAACCAAAAGCAACTTGGAGGGGCTGGAGAAATGGCTCAGTGGTTAAGAGCACTGGCTGCTCTTCCGGAGGTCCTGAGTTCAATTCCCAGCAACCACATGGTGGCTCACAACCATCTGTAATGAGATCTGGCACCCTCTTCATGCAGGCAGAATGTTGTATACATAATAAATAAATAAAATCTTTAAAAAAAAAAAACAAAAGCAACTTGGAGAAGAAAAGAGTTTATTTGGCTTATACTTCCATATCACAGTTCATCAATGAAGTGAGTCAGGGAAGGAACTCAAGCTGAGCAGGAACCTGGAGGCAGAAGCTGATGCAGAGGCCATGAAGGAGTGCCACTTTCTGGCTTGCTCAACTTGCTTTCTTATAGAACTCAGGACCACCAGTCCAGCGGTGTACCCATCCACAATGGACCCTCCCCCACAAATCACTAATTTTAAAAGATGGCCCACAGGCTTGCCTGCCTTTGGCCTGATCTTACGAAGACATTTTTCCCCCTCTGAGACAGGGTTTCTCTGTGTAGTCCTGGATGTCTGGAACTAACTCTGTAGACAAGGCTGGCCTCAAACTCACAGAGATCTGCCTGCTTCTGTCTCCAGAGTGCTGGGATTAAAGGTGTGTGTCCCAATTACCTGGCTGACGAATTTTTTTCAGTTGAGGTTCTGTCCTCTCAGATGACTTTAGCTCGTGTCAAGTTAGCATAAAACTAGATGGTACACTGATACAAGATAGTCATTTCGGAAGAAGGAACGTCAATTGAGAATTGGCCCCACCAGATTGGCCTGTGGTGCATTTTCTTGACTAATGATGAGGTGGGAGGCTGGTCCAGGGAAAGCAAGCCAGTAGACAGCACTCCTCCCTGACTTCTCCATTAGTTCCTGCCTCAGCTATGGAAAAGTTGGCCAGTCTTTGTAATTCTTTTCTATATTATTTAATCTGTACTGCAAAAACAAACAAAAACCTCAAGATAAACAAACAAAAAAATCCCAAACACAAATTGTGTACTTTGCAGGTACTAAAATGCAATTTTCTTTATTTCCAGTATTATAAAGACAAATAAAAGGCCTTGTTTTCTCAAGCCTTCGACTATTCTTAGAAGAAAAGGATTTGAGACAGGGTTTCTCTGTGTAACCCTGGTTGTCCTAGAACTCACTCTGTAGACCAGATTGGCCTCAAACTCAGAGATAACCCGCCTCTGCCTCCCAAATGCTGGGATTAAAGGCGTGTGCTACACCACTCAACTAGACTGCTGTGGAAATATACAGCAGTGACAACTGTGTTTAACAAGTCAACTCACTTAGGGAACCCCACTTGGCAAACTGTAGGGTTGTTGACAGTGGATAACTAGTTGTTCCTGTCCGTGGTTTTCTTGGGTACCACTGCTCTGCCTCCCTAATAAGAACAGTTGTGGGGTTCTTTCCACAGCCCTTTGGTGGTGTGTTTTATATTTATTGGGCACACATAGCTATGAATGGTCAGGAAGATAATCCTGATGAATAGAAATAATACTAGGATACTTTACATTACTCACACTGACAAAGGATTCTCAGTCACAAAGACAGTCTTTTACATAGACAAGCTAACTTTAGAGCAGATTCAAAGCAGGCTGGTTGACCCTAGAGACATATACACAAGGTCATTTTTCCATGAGTAAAAGATATGCAGTCATGTGATAGAGATATTGTAACTGAATACTGAAATACATAACCGAGCAGAAGAGAGATGTATGCATGTAAGAGAGATTATCAACAGATTAAGTAAAAGAGATTAGCTACCATCAGGAAAGTGTGTGTTTGTTCCTTTTTTCTTAGGTTACCAGCAGAAAGCATGTTTCCTTATTTACCCCCAGATAGAAAAATCTAGCCCATGCCGCCTTGGTGGATTTTCCCACATACCCTGGTGCTAACTGGGAACTGCCCCCCAAAGTTAGCAACAGATTGCTCTTAAACACGTGACTGAGTCATGCAAACTACTATCTGTCCAATATACCAGATTAAACAATGATTTATTCTGATTTCATAAGTACTTTGTTGTTCTTTATTTTATTCACTGGGATATTTTGTGGGGGAAATGCTCTTAATTATTTTCTTTTATCTAGGATTTCATGTAGTCTAGGATGTCTTCAAACTCACTAAATGGCAAAGCTAGACTCCAAACTCCTGATCCTCCTAATTCTACTTCCCAAATGTTGGATTACTACCAGACACGCACCACCAGGCCCAGCTGTTAGTTTCTTAAGAACTACTGTCACAAAATGGTAAACAAACTATACTTACCTATATATATTCCAAATGGCAACAGGTAAGTTGAGAAGGAAGATGAACCAGTGCCATGAAACCAGCATGAGCACAGTGACAAGGGCGTGGCCAATCACCTCTGGCATCACCCACTGCGAGTGAAGAACAAGGCATTACACCTCTGACCCACCTTTCCTGTCTGAACATGACACGGAGGCTAAACTGATGAACGTGCAGAGAATTTTTACATTAGACTCAGAAACCCCAGACAGGGCTATAACTTCCTACCCTAGGCAAATACGTCAGTTAACAGCTTTAAAATGAAATCTTTACGTCTCAGTTCTATTTCACCCTAAGCAAAGTCTCAGCCTCGTCCATAAGCCAGTCTGAACACCTCAGGAAGAAGCAGAGTAATACTCACCTTCTATTCCAGCATCTATGCCAATATGCTAACGTCTCCTGCTCTAAATTAGTGTGGTTCATATCCATATACATGCCTTTTCAGTTAGAATGTTCATCTTCAAATATTTCCCCATTCCTCACCCCCACCCTGCAGAAAAATTCCTCATCTCCATTTTCCCAAGGAAGCAAATGCCATTCAGAAAGATAACATTAAAATAATTAGCAGGTGTAATGATAAGTGCCTGTGATCCCAGCACTAGGAAGGCAGGGGAAATCACTGCAAATTCTGGGCCAGCCAGGGCTACCTAGTGAGGTGCTTCCTCCAAAACAAGAACAGAAGTTTTAAATAGGAGGTTGGTGAGATGGTTCAATGGTTAGTGCGCTGGCCGCTCTTAGAGGGCCTGAGTCTGTTTCCTAGCAGCCATAGGGAATGCCCACAGCTGCCTTTAACTCTGAAGGGACGCCTCTTCTGGCCTCCTCTGGCACCTGCACACATGTGGCATGGACTCACACAGACACATAAATAAAAACATAATTTTTTTTTTTTAAATCAGGGGAGAGGGCGAACGTGTTCCTTCACTACCACAAATTATGCAGTCGAATTTCCTACATTTGGAGAAATCTCAGGGGTCAGCACAACCAGAGTGCAATGGATAAGCCTTGCCCTGGAATACCACCTTCATGATCATGGTATCTCCCCTGGCAGGTTGTATATAAACCTTTTTTTAAATTATTAAAAAAAAAAAACTAGGGCTGGAGAGATGGCACAGTGACTAAGAGTTCATCCTTACCAGCAGGTGGCCGGTACTCACATCAGGTAGATCACAACCCCATATAACTCAAACCCCAGTGGGAACTGACATCTCTAGCCTCAGCAGGCACCTGTACTCCACTACCACATACGGACATACACATAAACATAACTAAAAATAAAAGGGTATTAACTTGAATAGCAATGGATGACAGAAGATTACTAAGCAATGTCTTTAAAAGTCAGAAAGAAAAAATCTTGCCACACTATAACCCCGTACTCAGATAGAGAATGAAGGATTTAAGTAAGATATGTTCAAACATTTCAGAACTCCAATTCCTACATGTTGGCTGTACCTCAAGAAGCTACTCCCCCAAAATGAAGTTGTAGCCAAGAAGGAAGACACAAGATTCAAGAATCAGGGGCTCGCCGGGCGGTGGTGGCGCACGCCTTTAATCCCAGCACTTGGGAGGCAGAGGCAGGCGGATCTCTGTGAGTTCGAGGCCAGCCTGGTCTACAAGAGCTAGTTCCAGGACAGGAACCAAAAGCTACGGAGAAACCCTGTCTCGAAAAATAAAAAAAAAAAAAAAATAAAAAAAAAAAAAAAAAGAATCAGGGGCTCCACAACCAAATGAGAACTATGAAACAGCCTCAGAACAGCCAATTAGAGGGCAGAATGACATGCTGGCCTGAAAAAGAAATGGTTCAGGGCGGGGCAGGGAGGGGGGAATAGGGGACTGGTACATTCTTTTAATCTTTTACTAATTCATTTTGGGGGAAAGAAAGTAGAAGGGGTTTTGCTATGAAGCCCAGGATGGCCTCAAAATCATGACAGAATTCTGGCCTCAGCCTCTTAAATACTGCCATTACAGGTACTGACTACCACAACCAGCATGATACCGTGTAGAAAATAGTATCAAAGGGCGGTAAACAGAAAACTAAGTAAATAAGAAATGTGACAATTATTCCCCCCTACACACACACACACACACACACACACACACCTTTTTTCTCTTTTTTTCCCTTTGTTCGTCTGTTTGTTTTTGAGACAGGGTTTCTCTGTGTAGCCCTGGCTATCCTGAATACACTCTGCAACCCAGGTTGACCTCAAACTCTGCCTGCCTCTGCCTGCTGAGTGCTGGGATTAAAGATGTGCACCACTACAGGGGTGGGAGGTGGGAGTCTAAGGGACATATTATCACTGTCTACTCTGAGACTCAGCAATGAAGACTTATATTTTTACAAGAGTAGATCGTAATGACACAAATACTGAAACATCAACTTACTCCGAAAAGAAAAAAAGATGGTACAACACGCCAGGTATGGCACAACAGCAATAAAAATGAGGACGCAGGTGTTTCCAGTTAGGGACTAACTAACAACCAACTCCTTTGAACCTTGTTTTTTCAGTAGACTTAAGATACGAAGTAACAATGGTACCGTTTTTTAAGTCAAGCAAAAAGTGCCCCTCAATATATTTTTACATGAATTTTTATCCAGAAAGCTTCTTTGTCCAGCTCGTAAAATGGATCAGGGACAAATGGTTTTCCCCTATCTAGATAAACTCCCCACTTAGAGGACTTATGTCAATATAAAGTTATTATATTAAATATGAAATGGCCTTAAAACAAACTAACTAACCAAGTCCATTTTTCCCTACAAACCACACAAGAAAGATCTTTCACTCAACAAAAGGCAGACTGAACATTTGTTCCATGAGTGGGAGGTGGCAGTATGAGCAAAGAAAGCAGAACAATCAGCCTCATGTAGACAAGAAGACCAGAAACATGTATAGTAAGAAACAATATTTAAAATCAGATCTAGCATAATTTCATGATCTAAAATACTGTAAAACACAGCAGTTCTAGCTACAACATTACAATGAATAGCTAGGAATCTAAAAGAAAAAAAATGCAAATTCTGATGATCTATAAAACTTAATAATGAAAAGAATTGACTTCAACCAAAAATAAGCAATGTCTTACCTTGTTTAATTTTGAGCAACATGATCTAGCATTAATGTAATCACATTCTAAATCAGACAATGTTATGATCTGATGGTTAAGATAAGGAATTATATACATAATTCTTGTGTTTGTACAGTCTATGTATGTGCACATGTATGCACCAGAGGTTGGTGCTGGCAATCTTCTACTTCTTTCCACCTTCGTTTTATTCTCTGTCTAAACCTGAAACTTGTTGTTTGACTAGACTGGCCAATAAGCCCCTGGGACCTTTCTGCTTCCACTTTCCCCAGTGCTGGGGAGCAGAACTAGGTCCTTTCACAACAGCACACAGACTTCCTGTTTAACAACCAAGCATTATATATGTTTCAGAAAGCAATTCCAGCACTCAGGAGACTAGTGGATTAGAAGTTCAAGGCCACCCTCACCTACATAGTGAATTTGGATATCAAGGGCATTACAGGATACAATTAACACTCTCTCAAAAAAAAAAAAAGGTAAAATTTAGTAAAAAGTAAAATGTTCTCAACCAAGTATCACCTCTTCATCACTTTCCCCACAAATTCATAACCAGACAATGCCAATACCACAATTAACACTATAGTTCAAATTCAGAAGAACCTCTTCCCAATAGGTTTATCTCCCAAACTCTCCTAGCTTGAATTTACTCTGCAGATTCAGCTTCCTAATAAACTGTTGTGTTTTGAGCTTCTAAAGTAACAGAATAGCATGTGTTTATCATATATAAATGTTTCAAACAATATATACATTGTAGAATGATACAACCTAGCCAGGCAGGATGCATTATCTCACATGGTTACTTCTGTGGTAAAAAGCATGCAACTTTCAGTCTTCCAATTTTTCACAAACAGGATACATTGTTAACTGTGGTCACCATATGAATGTATTTCCCCTACTCTCTTGGTCCAGCACCTTATCTGTTCTATGGAGGTGCTCCACCATTGAGCCACACCCCCAGATCAACAAGAGATCGCTGGAACTTATTTCTAGCAGAAATTGTGTATCCTTGACCTAAAGTACTTCCTTAAGTCAAAAGTTTGCAGTGACTCACTACTGCCCTCCTCATTTATCTGATCTAACTTCCTTCCCTACCTGATTTCTTGCTACAGCCTAAAGCAACCATGAACTCCTGGTGCTCTATAACCATCACCCAGAAATGAACATGCCTGCCCTGCACCTTGCTCTGGCCAGTGACTGTAAATATCTGTCCCCCTTTACCTGCAGGTTTCTTGACTACTCAAACTCCCCACACTCCTATAGTCTCCATGAAGTCTATTCTGACCGTTCTCCAACTATTCTCTGTCACACTATTACTGCAACTAACTATCCTACAACACAGTAGTAATGTGTTTTCACCAAAATGCACCCTGAATGTGTAACCAATAAACATTCCAGTTAACATATACATACATACATGATCTGGTATAGACCAAGACTGTTTTAGATGATCAAATCTAGTTTTCCAAACTGCAACAATAATAATAATAATAATAATAATAAGCATTTCAGCCGGGCGGTGGTGGCTCACGCCTTTAATGCCAGCACTTGGGAGGCAGAGGCAGGTGGATCTCTGTGAGTTCAAGGCCAGCCTCCTGGTCTACAAGAGCTAGTTCCAGGACAGGCTCCAAAGCTACAGAGAGACCCTGTCTCAAAAAACCAAAAAAAAAAAAAAAAAAAAAAAAAAAAAAAAGCATTTCAGATTGTCCAACAACTCTGGTTCCTTTTATCACAAGCTAAGCAATGGTCATCAGAACTTCAGCAAGAGATGTTTGCCCTTTTAGTCAGTTCCTCAAAGGTAATAAAACACAGGGCTCTTTTTATTAGAAATCATCAAAGTAAAAACTGATGCTAAATAACTGCAATAGGGCAGACACTGCTGGGTGTTTAACACAAGTTCTCATTGTGTGTATCTAGGAAACAAACATCTCCAATCCTAAAGAAGCGGGTAAGAGACAGTGAAGAGCAATGATTTCTAATTCCAAATTTTGCCCCTTCCTATTAAAACAAACTGTCAGTTCACAACAAACTGGAAAATATACTCTGTGCTGCTATCCTAAAGTTGCATAAGGCTAAAAAAGAGGTTAAATTTGATCAGAAAAAGGGACGTGATTTTGAAGGAAAAAGGGTAACATGCAAAAATCCTAGTGCACTTTTCTAATCACAATTAATTACTTAAAACTGGACTGTGGGCTGGGCAGTGGTGGTGCACGCCTTTAATCCCAGCACTTGGAAGGCAGAGGCAGGAGGATCTCTGCGAGTTCGAGGCCAGACTGGTCCACAGAACTAGTTCCAAGACAGGCTCCAAAGAAACCCTATCTCGAGAAAAAAAAAAAAACTGTACTGTGTATTACACTACAGCACTACAACACTGTGCTACAAGCACTATGATCCCCGAAGACCTGGAAGAGATGTAGCCACACAGCTACTACAGTGCTAGGTTGCTGAACATAATTTGCCGGTCCGGAAAATATTGTTTGAAACCTTCACAGAAAGTACTATAGAAAATACTGACTTTTAACACGAGCAAGCCTTTTCTTTTGTTTGTTTTTGTTTCAAAACGGGGGACTAAGTCAAATATAGTTACTTAATTTACAGATCTCACACTACCGAGGACAACCAGAAACACTTTGTGGATGCTTCTGAAGAAACTCCTTTTTAAAAACTCTCTAAAGGGCGGCACGTGAAGGAAGCACATCGCCGGTTCTTGGAATGAGTCATCTCCTGGGTGTGGGGAGTCCCCAGAAGCACAGACACCCGAGAGGACAAAGGGGCAAGGGTGCTACCGGGGACGAGAGAAGGCGGCAAAACCTTCCGCCCGCCAGCACCGGCCCCGGGATGCCTCGATCTCCCGGGGGGCACCTGCGGGCGAGAGCAGACGGAGGGGCGGCTGAAGGAAGCTGGCTTAGGCCGGCTAAAGACCGAGCTCGGCTCCTCCGCTCGCGACCCGGGCCCGCGCCGCCGCCCCCTCACCCCACAC